CCGAATTTTTCCGCCTGCGCAGTGTCCCATCCCTAGTTATAACTGATAAAATTAGATGTGTGTTGATACTTAGTACACGTTAATTCAGCTTTAGGATGGAAAGCGATATCTTTGATTCACCAGACTTTTTAAGTGAAGAACCTGAAGTAGCAGATTTTCAATGTGTTGAGGATGACCAAGAAAATGAAAACGCGGGTCCATCTTCTGTTTCAATCGATAATAGAAATGATTTATCGCGTTATAGTAGGATAGGTGAGCTTGCTTCAAATAAAGCAGGACTCCAGGGGATAGATAAAGAAAAAGTCAAACAAGTTATCTATGAAGCTTCAAAGGTAACTACAGAATAGCCTTCCTACAGTATCCCCTAATAAAGTAATCCCTCGTATAGTATCAGAATACTATTCGATTATAAATACTAATATTCTTTGAAAGTACCACCATAAATCGTATTAAAATCTATTGCGATATATAGCATTGCCTCTTTGTATATTTTGAATAAGGCCGGATACTATAGGCAGCGCTATATGGTATATTATATTGAAATATTCGATTGTTTATAATTGTTGCTTGTATTTGGGTTGTCTGCCGTTTTAGAGCTCTGCATTTTACCTTAACGAAGCCAGAAAAGATGAAGCTTTAGGTCTCAGAATTGAACAAATGATGAAAAAATACGAATCTCTTAAAAAGCAAAACTTGTCTACCCTTAATAGTAAAGTTGATAGTTTGGTACAAGCTATAGAACGTGGGAGAGACTTAACTCATATAATTGTACATGTTGATATGGATGCATTTTATGCGTCTATTGAAGAAAGGGATAATCCTTCTTTACGAAATAAACCAATGGCCGTGGGTGATAATTCTATGCTGAGCACTTCGAATTATGAAGCCCGAAATGTAGATTTTGATTGCATTAATTATTTGTTTAACGTCTTAAACTTTATTATATAAAAACTAAATTAATCTCCCTTGTTATTATCATAGTATGGTGTACGTAGCGCGATGCCTGGGTTTATTGCAAAGAAATTATGTCCAGAACTTATCATAGTTCCGTGTAATTTCGGCAAATATCGTGCAGTCTCGAAACAAATACGCGAGATATTTTCTCGTTATGATCCAGATTATACACCTATGAGTCTGGACGAAGCATATTTAGATATAACCAAGTACCTTGAGACAACTGATAAATCTCCAGATGATGTGGTTGAACAAATTCGGAGGGAGATAAATGAAGAGACAAAATTAACGGCTAGTGCCGGTATTGCTGCAAACAAGTTATTGTCTAAAATATGTTCTGACTTAAATAAGCCAAATGGGCAGTATAGACTTCAAAACAATGTTGATGATATCATGAACTTTATCCGGCCTCTTTCTGTCCGCAAGATCCCTGGTAACATTTTGGTTTATTTTCGTTATACCTATGTGTGTATAAATCTCAATTACTTTTATGATTTGATGATTAAGGCATCGGTCGAGTCACCGAAAAAATTCTAAGTGAAATGGATATTAAGACTTGTGGTGAAATATTTGATAATCGAGGTTACATATATCAAATGTTTTCATTAACTTCATTCAATTTCTTCATTCGAGCTGCACTTGGAATTGGGTCGACTATTGTTAAAACGTGAGTATATTATTCTCTTTGTAACAATGCATCAATTCTACGATTATAATTAATTATTTGTTTAGAGAACATAAACGGAAGAGTAAGAGTATATCAAGGTTATTGAAAGTTATTTTAATTGAATGCGTTTACAAGGCATATTCATAGTATATTGATTATATTGGTCTGTTCGTTTAATTAGAACATTCAGCAGTTTAAGTAAACCCGAGGATTTGTATAAGAAACTTCGTGAACTGGCTGATCATCTGGCAGCTGATCTCTTAAAGGAACGCCTTCAAGTAATGAAAAATTGTTGTTATATACTAAATATTTACTATAAAAGTATATTCATCATATTAATTATTCTTGAAAAATGTAGGGCAAAACTATCGCAATAACATTTAAATTGGTTAATTTTAAAATGATTACACGCGAAAGATCTATTAAAAAATATATACATACAGCTGATGATATATATTGTATTGGAAAACAGGTAAATTTATTACTCTTAACGGATTATTTTCCTTCAAAATTGAGATTGAAATCATCTTTAATTACTTTTAATCATAGATATTAACAGATGAATTGCCTTTGAACATAAGGCTTTTGGGGATTCGACTGTCTAATTTAAGCTCACGTGATTGTGAAAATGGGCTGAAAATGGTATTATAAACATAATTAACTTTGGTTTTCGTATCAATATAATAGATATTTCTCGTCGTTTTCTGATGTAATAGTCTTGCTTGATTGACTAATTAATCTTAGTGGTTGTCTCAGCAACAAAATCAATCAAAAAAGTCACAGCCTGCTCTTAAATCATTAGTTAAATCGAAAGTCGAGAACATCGGCTTGAAAAGGGTATATATAATCGATAATTCAATTTATTTTTTTTATTTACTAATATAAAATATCCTTATTTAAAGTGGTTTTCGGCTCGGGAAGATGAAGCTCAACAACAAAAGAGTGTCAAAAGGCAACATGTTACTCCCGAATTATCAGAAATGCTATCAACCGATTTGTCAACAAATTGTGAATCCACCACAGAACTAACTCAAGTAACAAATGAAGGATACTCTACACCAACTACTTTTAGGAAGTACACTTGCTCAGGCTGTAATAAGCTGGTTTTAAATGTGCAAAATCTACATTTTAAGGAACATCTGGACGTGTGTCTAAAAACGATGGAGATGAATGAAAACAATGATCAAGACATGGATTGGTTAAACCTGTCCGTACATGATGCTCTAGCTATGAATGAACACAACGATAATGAGAGTGCAGAAGACAATATAGATGTTCAGTCAATAAATGCTGATTGGGAGTGTCCAAAATGTAACAAAATTTTTAAAAATCCTACAAATCTACGCATAAACTCGCATTTGGATAATTGTTTAAGGAAAAATTGTGTACCCAATAATAGGTATGACTAAGAATTAGATAATTTTTAACTCATTCCTACGTTATTCATATTGATTTTTTGTATAGAATGATAAAAATAAGCCAAATAATGATGAAACGAAGGTGAAAACATAATGAATATTGTTAGATGGCAATGAGTCTATTCGAGCATCATTTTTCCTGAGCATTTGACATCCTTTTCCATGATTCAAAATATATAGCTCATTAGAAATTGATTTTAAATAAAAGAGCTTGTAGATATTGAGAATTCTTAACTTTTTTATGATTAATTTACATACTTTACAAAAAAGTGCCAAATTTTGATTTGTAAAACGGTGCTGTTTTGTAGGGCTGGAGCCATATTATTACATGTTTAAACTTGGAAATAAAATTTATTTATTTTTTTGTTTAAGGTGAGGTTTTGTATTTTATTAATATTTTGTATTGAGAATTCATTAGGGGTTTCTTTGGTCAGAGTTAAGTTACAAAAATTTTTACAAGAATGAAACTTAAACTACCAAAAACTATTAATTCTGATTTATCTGCAATCTGAACTTATTAGAATGGTTAAAACTTATTTAAATTTGTTTATTGATTGTATAAGTATTTTATAAAAAATCTATAAAGTATAGATAAAAGGTAGTTTGTTTAAGTATAATAATATACAAGTTAATTATATATATATATTTTTTTTAATATTTAAGGTAAGGTTATGCCTCTGGTTTTTATTAACATATACTTATTGACAAGTCTTTATATATATGTTAATGTAACACTACAGAGACTTAAACTAATTTATCTATAATCTAAATCTACTAAAGTGGTTCATACTTTACATATATTTTATCTAGCTTAATGCTTCTCAACTAACTATTTCTAGTAATACTACATTCCCCTTATACTTCATATAACCAGTCATAACTTTCAATTTGGTATGTCAGGTGTCTGCTCCTAATGAGCTTTCAATTTGATGCATCTGCAAGCATGATCCACTACATTTTTTATTAAGGTATTTTATTCATACAATTATAATTAGTGCAAATAGTTTTTTTATAACCTTATATCTCAAGCTAGGAACTTGCTGTCTAGTTAGGTTCACTATATAACAATGTTAGTATTCTATTGTTAAATTAAGGATTTATCTTGAGTTTGTATCACTTTAACTAGTTTGTATTCCTTCATACATTATCTCTTTTCATGAATGTCTTAATCTCTCACTTATTTGCCCAGATATTACTAACTCATATTTCAAACTAAGCTCTGCTGTCACTGCTAGTTTGTCTACTCCAAGACTTAATGTTCTTTTTCTGATATAGTGATATTAACTAATTCATTTGTACTTCCTCTTATAGTGTTGTAATATAGCAATACAGTGTTTTAGTAAAGCTATACTACTTGACTTAACATATAAGAGGGTTAAGGAATGTGTTAGCAAACAAGAAAAGAATAAAATTAGAAAGAAAATTAAAAGAAACTTTAAAGTAAAACAATAAACCAAAATGAAGAAAAGAGGCGATAGCTCTAATTCTAAAACATAATAAAAACCTCAAGAAAAGAGAGAAGAGGTGATGGCTTAACTTAATATACCAAAAATAAATATTTAAAGAAGAAAAAAAGGCAATGGCTCAACTTTAAATACACAATAAAAATACAATAAAAACTTTATTAAACACAATAAAAAGAAGGTAGGTGATGGTTTAACTTTAAATACACAATAAAACACAATAAAAATTTTATTAAACACAATAAAAAAAAGGTAAGTAATGGCTACACTTCCAAAAAAATAAAAAGGAATTAAAGTAAAGAGAAGACAGTCTGCTCTAACTTGGGAAAAAAGCAGGGTTTTTATATCTTTTGAACTATTAGTTAATAACTCAGTTAATGATCTAGTTAACAACCCAGTTAATAACTCAGTTAACAACCCAGTTAATAACCTATTTAACAACTTAGTTAATAATCCATTTAACAACTCATCTAACAACTCATTTAACAATCTATTTAATAACCCAGTTAACATATCAGATAATATACCAGTTAATGTACCAGTTAATATACCAGTTAACATACCTGTTAACATACCAGTTAATATACCTAATATTATACTGAAATTAATACTATTTGTCAAAAATTTTACTATTAAACTAAAGTTAAAAATATATATATAATAAATATAAATTATACTAATAAAATATACTAATAAAATCTACTAATATAACAGTGTATTACCAGAACTATATTACCTAGTTGCTTTAATGACCTATCTTATTAAAGATCAGCTTAATATCATGAAATTTTTTAAGTGGCAAGCAATTTTACTTCTAACTGTAGACTTTGTGTCATATTATTAAGAGGTATATACTAATTTACCTTGATTTCTAACTTAATTCTTCATTGTTAGTTGGTGTTACATTATTGTTGGTATATTTTAGTTTTTTTTTATCAAAGATTTCTATATAGATATGACTAAAGCTCTAATTTAGTTTTTTTATATATACTAGATTAGCTTACCTATCTCTATAACATTATCTTCTTTAGATAGTTATTCTATAGTACCAGAGGTGCTTCTTATTTAGGTAAAACAAATTCTTTATCACAACCTTTTACATATTTACTGCTTCTCTCACTATTTCAGTTTTAGTAGTATTATATCACTCTTCTAAGCAAGTATCTAGTACTATTTTTCAAATTAGAACTAATGCGCACAATCTATTGATCATCTTTTCAAGTAAGTACTTTATAAATTGGATGTAAGGATGTTGGTGTTGTCTAATATGAAGGTAAAAGAATGTTGGTGTTGCCTCAACTAGAAGACTAATTTGTGTGATTTTTTATAGTTTAGCCCTTCTATGATTTCGCTATTATATATAATACTTGCACTTTATAATCAGAGCTTCTTCTAAGAATTCCTATTTAAAAACTATACTTGCACTTAGACTTTTTACAAGGCTTTGTATTCAATTATAGCTCCATAAGATTATAATAACAAATTCAAAAATTTGTCACCAGCCCAACTTGAACTGTCGATCTTGTCTGTGGAGGTTTAAAGCTTAATCAGTTACAGAGCCCAAATCCATTAATTATTTATCTTAGAGAAGTATTATTTATCATCTGATTTTTTATCAAAAGCTTATTTTTCTTCTTCTCTTATTATATTTTGATTAGGTTTTTATTTATAATTTAAATTTTTTACTCTTCTTTCCCTAAAAAATTATATGATTTTTGTTATATCTCTTAATATATGTAAATATAGATAAAATAATAAAGTATAATAAAAATTATAAAAAGTAAATTAGTTATATAATATAATATAAGTAAAAAATAGTAAAAAATTTTTGTCAAATTTTAAAATTTAAGATAAATTATAGTGATAACATTATTTAAATTGAAGTTTGTTGTTTAGTAAATAAAAGTATATAAAGTTTTGTTTTTAGAAATAAAAAAATATTTGTTAAGGGTGTGATGACTTAGTGATGTGATTAAGTTGTCGCACCCTAAGTAGTATATTGGCAGGTTGAGATTCGAAACTTACTAATAACAGAATTTTGAATTATACAACAGCTACTGTTTTTTGATGATCAGTTAGAATGAAATCTTTATAATCTTGATAGCATTAATAAGATTGGGAGATCATAGAACATTCATGCAATATATAAGTTATATAAAGGTATGCAAGCCGGTATTAGTTGGTATAAACTCAAGATAAAATCTCGTATTTATATAAACTCAGAGAACTGAAAAGATAGATGCCTACTTGGCAAGACCTGAGTAGAGAGGTAGTATAAACTTTCGATAGTAGCTACTAGAATAGACTTTGTCTAAAGCTGGTATAACTGGATAAAGACCAGATATTCAGAAAGAAGATACTCTATCAACCAGGCTACTAAAACCTCTGAAGGAAAAAAATCTGCAATGCAAATATCAAAAGACTGGTATCCCATCTAGGCATCTGAATTGGTGATTTGAGGAAACTGGTTAGAAGTATTGAAAGAGAAGGGACTAGATTATCTTGAAAAAAAGGTATTAAGATTTGGGTGAACTCTACATGGGCTAAGTAGATAATAATAGCAGCTTCAACTCACAAATATTGTTCTTAAACTCAGTGTAAGTTACCAAAGAAGACTAGATATTACAGTAATAGTAGATACTAAACTGCTCTAGCAGATAATATACTCAAGAATACACCAGAAATTGTTGTTTTATAGGTGAAGTATGATGATTCTAAAATTTGGACTAACTAATGTATTGCATGTTCCAGATAATTAGTTAGATAGATTAGTACAGGAAAACAGATCAAAGAGTTTAATTGGGTAATTTAAATAATACAGTCGTCCTCCTCTACAGTCACCTCCTATATAGTCACACCCTCTTTATAAGCACTATTTTTTGAAAAATTATTGGCAATTTACTTATTAATAAAAACTTTATATAATCACAATACTATTAAAATTTTATAATCACATCTTTTTTATGTAAAACAAACTGTGTGATTATAGAGGAGGACGACTGTAGTAGGTATTCAAGTGAAGTTATAAGATTAGATTAAATAGTGCAGATATTTGAGAAGGTGTTACTTTTTTATATTTTATAAGATTAAGAAAGTTTTCAATTTTGTTAAAAATTGTATCAAGTGTAGGTTTGAGTAAGCCATTACTATCATAGAAAACTCCAAATTATTGTATAACATTATAAGGTTATCTAAAAGTAATAGCTTGGTTATTTGCATAGAATATAGACAGTTGAGATGAAGATTTAGATTTAATATAAAGTAGATCTGATTTTGTAGTATTAATTTCAATATTATTAAGTTTATAGAGAATAGATATATTATTCAAAATATTTTGTATTATAGCTGGATTTTCACAGTGCCAAGTTGTGTCATCCATATAAGCTAGTAGAGGAATAGTAATTAATGATGAAGTCATGTTTGTGATAATTTCAAGAGGAGATTGTGAGGAAATTTTAAGAAGATAGTTTTGATATTTTTGGTTTATAAAGGAAAGAATAGGATTATAGTAGATTTTCCAGAGTGGAGGTAAGTAAGTT